CAGACAAGTTGCTGTCGTTTTGTTCTTCAGTCTAGTTGTGGAGGACGTTGCTTCACTGGCCCAAGTTGGCACCATCATTGCCCTCTTCCCGGGCCGGCTTCTGGACGGCTGCTCACCGCGGCTGCTGGCTACACACGGTAGCCCATGGCAACCCATTGCAGCAGGGCTGCAGCCTACACCGATGCCGGTAACTCACGGCAGCCCAGCTCCAGGTCGAGCTGTTGCTCAGCATCTTAGCTGTAGAGGGCAGTGTCATTGGTCCTCATATGTGGGTTCCGAACCGGGGCCCTCTGGCGTCCCAAGCCAGTTCTTAACCATCGCGCCACTCAGCCGGCCCCACATTAACTTTTATCCAGTGTATATTTTTGTTTATAACCTCCATGTTTTCATAAAGCATTTTGAAATCTGAATGTACCTTGGATGAGCATATCAAAACCTTTGGGACATTCTAAAGTGTGTTAAGCACTTCCTGGTATAACATTTTGGAAAGAACCAGAGTAAAACCCAGATTTCTCAAAACAAAAAGAACACTTTAGACATTAGCCTTGTAATTTCAAGTCTGTGATGTGCCGCTTTGAAAATTAACTGCTTTCAGAATTTAACACATTGTGGACCGGTGACACATATTTGCGTGTATACATTACAGCTGTGCAAGATGGATGACGCAAATCTGCGTTTGTTTTTTTTTATGCGGGAGTTGAACCGGCAGCCTTGCTGTTAAGAGCACACACTCTATCCACTGAGCCATCCAGGTGGCAGCTCAAGGTGCCGAGGTCAGTCCCAGCTGCTGGAGGGCATAGCCTGCCATCGAACAGGCAGTCTTGTCATTAGGAGCAGCTCAGGGAAAGCTCACTGGCCCATGTGGGAATCGAACCAGCGACCCTTGCTCAGAGCTTGTGCTCTCAAGCAAACTCTCAACCAACTGAGCTACTCGGCCGGCCCACAAATTTGCGTTTTTAACACCCACTTGGTTTCCATGCACTAGACACTTAACTATACAATACATGGAGCCTTTCTCCTTATGGTCCTGCTGATGAATGTTTATCCGAGTTAATGATCTGTGATAAATATAGAGAACAAACAGCTCTGTAGTTACCTCTGTTGCTCTGTTCTGCATTTAGTCAGCATTCAGATTTCAACCACTTTACACACATAACAGAAAGACGTAGTTCTTACGGGAAAAATGTCTTACAGAAGATGAAATTTCAGCGCAATTCTTGGCGGACACTATCTGATGTTGCTGACAACGCTGATAGTGACAGTGAAAATGACAGTGACTCTTCTATTATCGGAAATAGGCAAAACAAAATTGTGCATCCTTTACTGAGTTACAGTGACATTGAACAAAGCGCAAACGAAAGTGACGATGACGATGACATACTAGATTCGGCGGTTTCCACATGGGTAAAAACAGATAAAACACCAAGTTTAGGGCCATTTACCAGAAACCCAGGGGTGAAACAAATTCCCTCTGACCCGACGAAAGTATCACAAGTAACAGGATTCTTTCTTGGAGACAGATTCTTTGATATGTTGTGTGAGAAAACGAATCTATATTACTTACAAAATCAGGAAAAGTATATTACTGGTTCTAAGGAGTTGAAATGGTCAGATGTTACTGTAGCAGAAATGAAAAAATTTTTTTCAATAATTATTCTAATGGGGCAAGTCAGGCAATATAAACTAAAGGATTATTGGTGTACGGATCCATTTTTTAGATACTCCTATTTTCAGGAAACTTAGGAGCCGTAAAGATTTGAACAAATTTGGTGGTGTTTACATTTCAACAACAATGAACTTCTGCAACAATCAACTAACAGGCTTTTCAAAATTCAACCCTTATTGGATTTTTTCCTTGAAAGATTTCAGACTATTTATAAGCCAAATCAACAACTTTCCTTAGATGAAGCAATGATTCCTTGGAGGGGCAGCTTCGTATACGAACATATAACCCGGGGAAACTTACACAGTAGGGCTTACCTGGTTCGTATGGTCACTGAAAGCACCTCAGGCTATATCTTGAATGTAGAAATTTATGCTGGTGAAGGAAAAAAAATTACAGGAAACTATTTTCGCACTTTTGGAACCTTATCTTGATCAAAATTACCATGTCTACCAAGATAACTATTACAATCATGTGACAATTGCTGAAACTCTCCTTTCAAGACAAGTTAGAGTATGTGGAACAATCAAGAGTGAACAGGGGTCTTCCTCCAGAAATTAAAAACGAATCACAGATTCTGAAAAGTGGCGAAACCACATTCAGGAGAAAGGGTGAAATTCTTCTTCAGTCCTAGAGGGATACTCGTGTTGTCACCATGATTTCCATAATTCACAATTCAACAATGGTTGATGTTCCATGGAGAAATGAAGAAGTAAAGAAAAAACCTATTTGTATTTTCCAGTATAATATGTTCATGAAGGGTGTTGAAAAGGCAGATCAGTACTTGTCTTATTATTCTCTCTCGAGAAAAACAGGGAAGTGGCCAAAGAAAGTTGCATTTAGGCTTATAAATTGTGCACTTTTCAATTCTTTTCGAATCTGTCAAAAACTAAACCCTACATCAAAAATGAGATACGAAGAATTCCTGCTACAAGTGGCAAAAGCCTGGGCTACAGATGAGGTGGAGACAGACTCAGACACAGACACAGACGCAGCACGCCCAGGAACATCAACCCAAACCCCTCGTGTGCCTCATGAGGACCCCCCGGGGAGACTTTCGGTTGATATGTGCAAACATGTGCTAGAGGAAGTTGTTGGAAGTGAACGGGGTGAAAGGAAATATCCTGCTAGGAGGCACCATGTTCGTGCTGCCCACACAAAAAGAAGTGAAACTCAGTACATCTGCAGGTTCTGCTTAGTGCCACTCCATAAGGGGGAACGTTTCCAGAGGTATCACACCCTCAAGCACTGCTAGGGTCTTTGGTGAGTATTTCCTGAAAATATCAGTTCACAAAAATAGTTAGTGAATTTGTCATACTCTTTTTTTTTTTTTTTTTTTAAGCTGAGCCATCCTGCTGCCTGTTGGCAGCTCAGCAGCTGCTCAGCTCGGGCTGGACTCAAACCGCTGTTGCTCAGAGCTCAAACTGTTGAGTGAGCTCTTAACCAACTGAGCCACTCGGCTGGCCTGTCATACATTTTTAAAGAAACACAATGTAAAAGTTGATTTCAATGGTTTAAACCCCGGGAACATGCATTTAAATAATTTAAATGCCTTGTCCTCAATATGTTAACATGATTTTTATTTTGATCTCCTTAAATGCAAACCAAATATTTATCATATTTTACAGTCAAATGAAGTCTCCCTGTAAAAATATTTTAATAAAATGTATCTTTATTGCAGAATCTTAAATAATGAAGATGAAGAAGTATTCAGTAATGAAGAGCATGGGTATGCTTCAAAAAAAAGGAAAAAGGGCCATTTTAGAAACGACACAAATACTCAATGTAAGATCACTTTCATTAATAATTTCATGATATTTTACTTGTTGAATATGTTTGACATACCACATTGCCTTGACAGTGCTATCTTACGAAATGAAAGATGAGACAGATGTGTAACTGACAGCACGTGTCGGCGTTGCCCCTGATGTCCTGGCCGACTTTTTGCGGCACATCCATGAGTCACTGAGAAATGTTTCGGTTACTCAGTCTGCTCAAGAAGACCTCTGGGGAGTGGTCCCAGGAAGCATTGGGATTTGAGTTAACGTGAAAAAATTGACTTAAATTGAATACCATATAAAGGCAGTGACAGAGAATAGAACTTTTTATCAGGGTACATAATAATTTATTAATAAGTGCATTTTATACCTATCTATGCTTTGATGTTACCACAGTCGTTAGTGATTCTAATTTTCTTGTTCGTTATTAACAGTTGGTACTGTCTTAAATCATTTTTCACATAAAGATATGTTTCAGCACCTTCTAAACTGATGTTAGGAAACAAAGCAATTCTGTGTACATTTAAATATGTAAAAGCATCTCCTGTCTATACCATAGTCAAAGTTTTGTTAGCATCGTATGCAGGTATTTTAAGTTCCTGAAAATCTTCATTTTGAAATGATTCACAGGATTTTGAAAACAAAGTTAATTTTTATTCTAGATTTCTATCGTGAAAAATGGATCTATGTCCACAAAGAAAGCACAAGAGAAGTAAGTATTCTGTTACAAAAAAAGAGCATATTTTTTATTGTTGATGTTGAATATGTCATCACATAACATAAATAATTTTTTGCAATATCAAATCTATTCTAACAGATGAAAACCTGAGGATCTCTGACACAGTGAAACTTTGTGTGTGAGTGTGCGTGAGTGTGCACGTGTGTACGTGTGTGCATGGTGCAGGGTTAGCGCCCCCAGTACAAAGCTGAGTGAAGAAAAGGGCTGTTTCCGAACGAGCTGTGAATGCTGAGGCCCTGGCACCAGTAGGGAGGTGTTGTGGCCCTTCTGTGTTTGGGAACCTGTGAGAACATACACATCCTCGTTTAACACGTAGAGTTGCTAATATGACATCAGTAACTGAGTGTGACTCTGCAAAGAGCAGTCTGAACCTTTCCTGTCCTTCCTTTTGCCAAGTTGGCCGAAGCTTTTTTACGAGCCACCAAACCGCCTGCTCACCCCAGCTCCGCACGTCGTTCTCCTCTGCCAGGCGTCCGGGGACACTCCCTTCCGCAGCCTGAGAAACTCTGCCGTTGCCTCGTTTTGTAGCAGTTTGCGGAAATAATTTAGGGAGCAGCTGTTCAGTATACGTTAGCATTAGTTCAGTGTTCCAGAAGTGTTCATAACGGGTGTCCTGAAACTAGCCCCGCTTCCTAGAAGCGTAAGGGTTAGATTCTGAGATAGAAAACTCATTTAAACTGTTTGGTGATGGTTCATATCATTACGTGGGTATGAAACGACGCCAATCCTTAGCATACAGCCTCCCACACCGTTAGGAGAGTGTTTGGCAGAATCTGAAATAGTTTGAGCTTATGAAAGACTATTAAACATTTCATTTGCTCTGTGTTACCACACTGATGACAGAAACAGGATCCGACTTAGGCCAGTGTAAGCACCAGAAGAGGGATTCGCAGTGCATCTGCAGAGATGTTACGTGGCCCCGAGGAACAGGACTGCCAGGCTTGGGAAGGGAGCAGGACTGGGAGCTGGGAGCTGGCCCTTCTTTCTCCAGGTGTGTCTGGTCTCACCAGGTGTCTCATCTTCTCACCTGATGCAGCCCAGGTACCTGCTGCCTTTTGATGTGGCCGAGTCAGGCTGCCCTGCCCTCCGTGCGTGGGTCCAGGCCCCGTTGAAGCTGGACTGCTTGTGCGGTTCAGACGCGCCCTTTGCAGCTCGCTCTGTGCGTCAGATTTTATTCCCCAAAGAAGAGGCTGTTGTGAGATGGTGGCTACCCAGACAGGAGTCTGCCGCACCAGCATTTAGGGTTCGGTTCGTTGGGAAGAGGTTCAAGCAGAAATATCAGCTGTGATTGATTTCAGATTTTGTCTAACTAAGCTTTGCTTCCCCCATGGCTCCCAGGAACATGGAAGATTTTCAGTAGCAACATGTACTGAATGTTTTCAGTTAAGTGCATGTTGTTGGTTTGTGTACACATTCGGACTGTTCTTGGGACCTGGGCACAAACCAAATTAACCCTCGCTGTGCACCTCCTACCTGAGACGAAGGTGTTTTGCCTCTTCTCTAGACCCTCTCCTGCATCACCTCATGTTCTCTGTGATGATTCCCCCGTTTATCTATCCCACAACTCTTGAGTTGAAAAATCTCTTTACATGTTCTTCATATTTCAGATAGAGAAGATTGAGTTGCAAGGAGCCCTCAAGCCTAATGTCCATAGCTACACAAACCCCCATAGAATACAGGATGTATCATTCAGGGCAGACATCTGAAATGGGGCAGCAGTGTTTCTGCACTTAAAAATAATTACTGTGTTTCTTTTGTCGTCTTTGACATCTGGCCTGTGGGTCTAACTACCAGCTTCTTGGGCTTGGGGGGCTAATCACCCCCTGCTCCCAGCCCGGAAGCTGCCCATTGTCACATCCCACCGAGCCCTGCTGTCTCCTCCTGAGCGCTGTGTGCAGACCCGCCCCCACCCCCACCCGCTCACATGTCTCCTGCCCTTGACCTGTGTGTACAGCAGACTGCCAGACCTGCAGGCCTGCGTGGCTCCTGCAGAGGAATCGAACGTCTGCACTCACTGTTTACGGTAGATGCGTCTTCCCAGCAGGCAGGCCCCTGCCTCCTGTCTTTCTAGTTGCGTAGCCTGCACTGCTTCACTTCTTTTATGATTTCAGGCCTACTCTGCCCTCCCACCCGGGGTGGTGTTATGCCAGCAGTGGTATGGACATGGCAGATTCTCCACAAATGACCTAAATTTAGCATTGCTATAATTTTACTCTACCATCATCTAAATATGGAGTAAGTCATAATAAGAACAAACGTCCTTTCCAAAACCCACAAAAACGATTTGCACAGGCTCACTCGCCTTAACCGTCAGTGCCCTGTGACCGAGCGGCTCAGGCCTCGAGTTCTAACTGTGCTGTGTCTGCTTCCAGAGACACGGCTACTGCACTCTGGGAGAAGCTTTCAACCGCCTGGACTTCTCAAGTGCCATTCAGGATGTCCGCAGGTTCAATTACGTAGTCAAAGTAAGTATTTACCTCCCGTCCCCTTTGCGCTCACAGAGGCTCCACTCAGAGGCCTGTCCTCTGCTACATGGCTCTGTCGAGAAGCTGCTCCAGCAAAATGAGTTTTGGAGTAGACATATGCCTATTGTATGTTTAGTGACAGAAGGTTCTCTTCTGCTAGAGCAATGGTTTTCTAGGGGTTCTTTGTTTTTGTTCTCTTTTCTAAAGTCACCCAGCTTCTTACCGGTCTCATCAGCTTCCAGAATGAGGGTCCAGCCCCTTCCTTGACTGTGTCCCCATGGAGGGGAAGCTAAGCCATTTTCGTTTGTCACCACTGCTCCTAGGGTAGGTACAGCAGCTCCCTGTGATCTATACACATTTTCTTCTGTCCGGGGACCTTCTCCTGCAGACACTCACTTGCCTTGGTCCCTGTAGCCCCCAAGGTTGATTTGAACGTTATTTGCTTTTGGAGATGAAGTCCTCCCTGTCTCCTGAGTTTTTCATGGACCCTCTAACAGCGAAGCCATGAAAACAACAAAAAAGACGCAGGAGACTAGAATGTCTGGTTCTTTGAAGGCTTCGAAACTTGTTCCTTGTTTTACTGAGAATGTGTGCCTTCTTCAGCAGTTCACACCTCAGCCCACCATGAGGGGCTGGGAATGAAACTGTGGTCAGGACGGCCCATGTGGAGTGGCTGGTGGGCCTGGGACGTGTGCTGGAGGCCGCACCGGCTGTCCATCAGGCAGCAAGGTCCTGAGCCTCTGCATGCGACACCTGCGAGGCCTGGTGTCCACCTCAGAGGGCCATCGCTGGGAGGTCATGCAAACTCCCAGGACACACTCCACCCTACATGTTGGCCCTGTTTGGATCGATTTAGACAAAGGGATAACAGCAGTCGCGTGCACATCCAATACAGTTGAGAAACAGGTCACGGGGAGAAGTAGAGCTGGAGACAGGAGAGGGGCTCCTGTTAAGGCCTCCGTTTTCTTGGTTCTATGAACTTTTCCTCTTATGAAAATCTAGTGACTTACTTGAATGTCATATGACATTTTAAAATAATGGCCTTTGAGTTCAGTGAAACTGTAGAAAAGGACTCAAAGATTTTTGGTCTTACTGCTAATCAAGCCTTCGTTCGCTATGTTCAATTTGTGTTAAGGGACCCAATCACATGCTAAGCTATTGTCGTATAATAATTTATTCAGGGGGCCGGCCAAGTGGCACATTGGTTAGGACTTGGCTTGGGACACCAGCTCTGAGCAGCAGGGCCCTGGTTCAGATCCCACATGACGGCCAGTGACGCTACGCCCTTTACAGCTAAGATGGTGAGCAACAGCTTGACCTGGAGCTGGGCTGCTGTGGTTCGCCAGTGACGGCATAGGCTGCAATGAGTGGCTGGCAGCCGGCGTGAGCTGCTGTGAGCTGCCATGAGCCACTGTCCAATGGCCAGTGACCAATCTGTCTCAGCTGGGAAGAGCACAATGATAATACCAACATGGGCCAGTGAAGCGATGTCCTCCACAACTAGACTGAAGGACAAAAGGACAGCAACTTGTCTGTTCCCCTTCCCTGATTCCCCAACGCTGTTCCCCTCTTCCAATTCCCCAATTAAAAAAAAAAATCTTTAAAAAATAATTTATTCAGGGACCCTGCCATCCCCGCCACCTAACACAGGACCTGGAAAACACCCGTTTTTGGCTCTTCCTGAAATGAACCTCAGGATGAACAAATGAGGCACCGTTCACATGCACTGTTTTGTGAGTTATTCCAGTTATTCACCACTATTAAATATTCTCCACAAATTCTACCTCAAGCATGAACAGTCAGTAGGACTCTCTAAAATAATTACATTTTTGCCAGTTACTTTACTAAACCTACAGGCACCTCTTTGCAAGAAAACTTGGTATTTGGACATGGAGGAATTTCATCCTTTTTTATAAAACAGATTCTTCACAAAAGAGTTCCTTAGCACAAAAAGATATATTTAATTAAAAACAAAACACTTCCTTATTATTAATTCAAGAATTGGCTGTCCGCTAGTATTCCAGGCGTTTCCTATAATTTTTCGCCTTTAAACGTGTTGGGCTAAAGTGTACAACCAAACATGTTAATGCCCTAAAAATAAGACTCATTGAGGAGGAAAGAGGAGAAACGACAGTGCAGGACCTGTTCACAGCCGAAGGGCACGCTCTGTAGCTAGACAGCTTGGCTCAGCAGGATTTAGTGTGATGCTGTAGCTGTGAGGTTTTCAGAGGAAGCACCACACTGGCCGGGCCTGCTTTCCTTTCATTCGATGGCATGCCGACAGAAGCGTGTCCCAGTTATTTAGACATCTGGAATTGTCATTAGTATAGGGTCTGCAAGTACGTGGCGCCTTCTTTTGTCTGTCTTTGCCTTCCAGCCTATTTTATCAGTAAGAAAACTGGAGCGTGACTAAACACAGCAAGCAGCTAAGAGTTCTTTGAAGAAAACTGAAGTTATAAACTGTGTAACAGTTCCGTTTGTATAAAGCAACAGTGTTTTTCTCTCTCTGCCCGTGGTAGAAGTCAGAAAATGAGACAGAGTTGCTGTGAGATGCTAATTCCCTAGAAGGTGGAGACGAGGGACAACCAGAAAGCAGAAATCATCGCGCAAACCGTGTCTGCTCAGGCAGGGTCCTGAGTGGGAAGCTCGGTTTTAGTGCAGCCTGCGTCAGTTCTGTTGTGGGGCCCCCGTAACCTTCGGGCAGCAGCACGGGGGCCAAGGCGGTGGGAGAGCCGGACGGAACTAGTGAAGCTCCCCCGAAAAAACAGCCTGCGGAGCCTGGTTCTGCTTTGGCTTCGGGAACATCGAGTTGAGAACTTTCCATTCTCAGTGGACGTGGTAAAACTGAGAAGACTTTAAAACGAGGCAGTCAGACTCCAGACCATTGAGGCTGCTGGGAGCCGTTCACCGTGCACCGACACGCGTGACGGTGGGCAGCCTGGCGTGTTCCCATCCTGCTCGTGTAGCCAGGTGGCTTTGGGGCATTTATTCATGCCTGGGCCTCAGTTTCCTCACTGAAGAGAGAGGTGACAGCACCTGTTTCACAGATGTGCTCTGAGAATCAGGCAGGCTGATCGTGTCAAATACTGGAAATAGGGCCTGTATGATAGTCACTCTGTGTTTATTGTCGACTGTAAATGGAAGTGAACCCGCAAGTGAAGACTGAACAGCTGACTGGCTCTGCCCAGTGAAGAATCGATTGTCCACAGCGTCAGACTGACTGAAGATACAGACGGCAGCAGCTGGGCCCGACGCCCTGCGCTCAGTCTCGGTCGTGAGCACACGCACTCGGCGCTCGCGCTCCCTCCTGGGTCCCATGGAGGGATGCACCTTGAATCTCATGTAGCTACGGTTGTGTGTCGCTTTATTAATTCTGATTTTATTATCATCAGAGTTTGGCCTGTAAGGTCTCTGCTTCTTTGAAATGTGTCACATTTTCCTTGTGGCCGTTTCCAGAATTGATTTTTGTGAACATTCTGTTGACAGGAGAAAAATGCACATTCTCTATTTGAAGTATGTAATTTTTCTGATTATCTATAAAACTAGCTTTGGCAGTTCTATTATTTAATTCTTCTACATCCTTCTTTAGAATTTTGAAATTTGAAGAGATACATAAAAATCTACAGTGTTTATATTTTTAGGTAATATTTATTAAATTTCCAACAGATTTTGCTTTATATATCCACCTAAAAAGAGGCTAGTGTCTGGTTACATTTTCTTTGTAAATGTGTCTTTGGCCCTTTTGGCTTAACCGCCATTTTAACCTGAAACATTCCTTGTCACCTGCCTCCTGTGCCTGCACATGGCGGTGTGGTGGGTCCCCCGTCACTTCGTCCCCTGTGGATAGCCAGCCAGACAGCTGCTGCCATGCCTTCTGCTAGTGACAAAGTCTTTTTTTACAGGACTTTTTACACGATATTAGAAAACAGTAGTTTATGTTGATGATGGGAGAGGAGGTTTGTAGGACACGGTCCCTGTTTGTGAAGTCTCAATGATCCTTTTCACGCTTTGAAAGAGATTCTGGTTTTGTGAGTTACATCCATTAATACTTACCATATAGGAATTAAAAGTTTTTATAAATACTCTTGTTTATTTAAAAATAAAGAGTGGCATTGTTTTCCACCTTTGCAAATCTTCCGATGTCTGCTGCAACAGAGGACGCTCGGATCCTCAGGCCTGCCCCTGAGTCCACGTGTCCCATAGCCCCTGGGGTTCCTCCCCACACGCTGATGGGAGCGCTGGGTACCCAGAGTGGCCAGCGTCCGTCTCAGTGGTGCTGTAGCCAGGACCCCTGGGCAGCTCCCTGAGACCCTCTGCATTCGAGCAGCGCCCTGGCCCCTGCCCTGCGCTTCTCTTAGGGGTGAGAATAGGGCTGTGCAAGTCCTCCTTTTCTTCTCGTTTTTCTCTGAGTAATAGAAGAAAAACGTGTTTGCATAATCTGGTGTGTTTCCCTCATGTTGGCGCAAGAAGCCCAGGTGGGAGGGTTTTGGGGTTTAGACGACGGGCCTGGCCGGGCGGCTGAGTCTCGAGGGTCAGGACTCAGAAGCCCAACGTGGCTGCACACACCTCAGTGACATCCCAGCCCAGTTTTCGTTAGCACTGCAGCCGATGTCTTCGTCTCAGGCGGCTGAATCCTTGGTCTGACTTGGTTCGTAATGCAGGGGGCAGAACAGCAGTGGCAAACATTAAAACAGTGCTGGGATGGGAGGGCAGTCAGGCGAGGGGACACTCAGTAATCGCGTGTAGCTGGCGTGAAAGACGGAGGCGTAGCCCTGACGCTTCAGCCGTGTGTTTCGCTGTGTGGGGCGGGCTCTCGCCTGTCTCTGGCCGGTGTGCGCAGTGCCGTCTTTCTGTGGTCACTGTGGTGCGGGGCGCTTTTCACGTAGATACATTAGAAGTCACGGAAGGGCCATTTCCCAACATGATCATCATATTGATCACGTCATTTTGGACTTCTACAGCCAGCCTGGCTGTGCGAGTATGTGGGTTAGCATTTTCTCTTTCTGGAAATCAACAAAGACAGCAAGGAGAATTGGAAGGGGGTGAAAAATTCCATTTTCAGAGAAACAGTAGGCGGACGTACTTTAGGGTCCTAGAGTGTGTTGAAGGCTCGCCGGAAGCAGCTAAGAAAGAGTGGGAACTGCACAGGAGGAGGAAGGCCTGTGTGTGGGTTGCACATACACCAGGGCCACGCCCCAGTGACACCGGCAGACACACGCTGTCCGTGGAGAGGCCGCACGGACAGCAGACGTCATGATGTGAGGCTCCTAGCTTAGAGCAGCGAGCAGGGGAGTTACAGACCTGGGTCTGAGCGGAGGTGGGCTGGGGTCCCTGAGACCACACTGCTGGGCTGACTCGTGAGAACCCACTTTCCCGGCCCAGAGGGGAGCACAGCGAGGAGGGGCTGACCACGCTTGGGGAACCCCCTGAGGCCCCCTGAGGGTGGTGCTCTGGGAACCTGCCTCACTCAGAGATGAGTGTCAACAGCACAGGCACCTGACGGATCGGGCCTCGGACCGTCAGCAGCCCTCCCGATGGCCGCGGGACAGTAGAACCCTCTCCAGTGAGGCGAGGAGGGTGGGGACAGACGCCGGTCGGGACCCACGAACGGGCCAGGGAGGCAGGAAACTAGACAGATCAATGTAAGCGGGGGAGACAGACGGATGGATGAAGGACAGAGGCCGCGAAGGACAGTCTTGGATGTGACAGGGCCGGAAGGGGCCGGGAGAGGGGGCGCCTCGGACACCACGGTGAGGGACTGAGGCGGCAGAACCGAGGAGACAGGAAAGAGGAACAGTAATTGTGAGCTGAAAAGGCTTAGAAAATTACAGCTGTAGAGGACAGCCAGAGGGGAACCAGGCACATCTGTAATGTCATCTTTAAAGAAGAGCGCAGAGCAGTGGGATTGGACAAATGCTTAAAGATAAGACGCAGGAAACTTCCCTCAGGGAGACACAGGCACTTTGAGAGTGGGCCAGACACGCTGACCCAGCAGTGTCACATCCTCGGAAGGTCGCTGAGCCTGAGGCGGGTCACAGCCGCGCTGTCTCTGGCGAGGGAGATACAGGGCAGCCGCACGCCCCGCCTCGGCCAGCAGCCCTCACGCGGTTGCTCGTAGATCACTGTGGTTTGTGTTTCCGTATTAAATAGCTTTATGCTTAGCTTTCTCCCTCTTTCTTTTAAGCTATTGCAGCTAATTGCAAAATCCCAGTTAACTTCATTGAGTGGTGTGGCACAAAAGAATTACTTCAACATTTTGGATAAAATCGTTCAAAAGGGTAAGAGGATGACCGATATTTTTAATCATTAAATCTTAATGAAATTTACTGTAAGGAGATGGGATCTCTTAGTGTTCCCCAGTATGTATGCTGTCAAAACAGTGATGTCTGCTGTCTTCTTGTTCCGTTTCTATTGTTCACACTTTTAACAGTTGCTTTTGCGTACAAAGGACTGTATTACAATAAGAAAGAAAAGTAAACGATGGGATCTTATCTGTTTAGGGCTAACCAGTCTCATTTCAGGAAGCAGCAAGGTTAGGACCTAACTGCTTCACATCAAGTGAACCTATAGTTTTCTTTGTAGTTTAATGTCTGTATTGATTAATTAGTGGCCAATAGTAATGGAACTTTAACTTTCACATCCTAAGCTTATGCACATATATGAATTTATGAATATAAGCCATTTTCAAATATCAATTCTCTTTGTAAGTATAAAAGAAAACAGAGACAGACAATTTTGAAGTCAAAATTGTAGATGCAACTGAAAATACACTTCCAGGAAATATTTTAAAGTTTTTTTTGTATTCTCATATTTGTGATATCTCAGTAATGATGCCAGCTTGGAGTTGCAGTGAAATTAGATCATTGTTTTTACTGTGGCAAAGTATACATAATATAAAATTGGTTCTTTTACTCATTTCTAAGTGTTCGGTTCCTTAGCATTGAGCACATTCACACTGTTGTACAACCATCCCCACCATCATCTCTGGAACTTTCTCATTGTCCCAAACTGACATCCTGTCCCCATTAAACACTCACTCGCCTCCCCTTCCCAGCCCTGCCCCCCACCGGCTGCCTCCTATCCCCCTGAGTCTGACTCCTCTCGGGACCTCATGTAAGGAGCCTCACAGAATTTGTCGTCCTGTGGCTGACGTGTTTCACTCGGCAGAGTGTCCTCCAGGTCCGTCCATATGGCAGCAGGTGTCAGGACTCCTTCCCGTGGGACCGAGTGTATGCACCGTGTCCTGGTCCTCTGTAGACGGACACGGGGAGCGAAACCGGCCCTTTTCCACGGCGGCGGTAGCCGCGGTCCATCGTTGTGCTCTGTCCGTCCCAGTTCTCCACGACCAGCAGAACCCGCGCCTCATCAAAGGCCTCCTGCAGGACCTGGGCTCCACGCTGTGCGTGCTCCTCCGCGGGGTCGGCAAATCCGTGCTGGTCGGCAACATCGACGTGTGGGTTTGCCGCCTGGAGACCGTCCTCGCCTGGCAGAAGCAGCTCCAGAACCTTCAGATGCCGCAGGTATGCACCTCTGAGCCTAACAGTGGTGACAGCTTGTAGATCACAGGGTGTGTAGGAGACTGTGAGAGCTTTCAAAAAGATGCTTTTTTCTCGATCCTTTCGTAGGTGCTAATTAGGTGGTTTTAAAATGGATTCAGACCAAAGACCCTTGAATGACTTATAGTTGCTATTGCAGAGGAAAGATTCCGTGGGTGATGAGGTGGTAAATTAATTGACCTTTTAAGGAAGTTAGGTGTTTGGGGCTGAAACGATGTCCCATAAATTACGGCTCACTTGTGTTGCCAGTGGCTTCTCCGGGGCGTCTCTCTCCCCTCGCGTGGGCCTTTCTGCCGTCGTGTGCTGTGTGCCGTGTGCACCCGTGCCCGCAGTGAACATGGGGAGAAGGTGCAGTTGTGGTACTTTTGTTTGTCTGGTGACTAGCTTCAACAAGAAAAGTGTCACCCCACTGACTAAGCCCGTGTTTTAGGCTGTGTGCTGTCTCTCTTGTCCTGTGTAAGAGAAAGAATAAACAGTACAGTCATCTTAGTGCCCACGGTATAAACTCTTCTGTAGACTGCCTTCTGATGGGGCTACAAGTCCCTTCATCACCTTTGTCACCTGAGGCTACACGAGAGGGAAGTTGTTTTCAGGTGACCTGGGAATACCTCAGCGTGTGGCCACTTACTGCCATCTGAACGGGATTCAGAAAGCGAAAATGAGTCCCTGGTGATGGGGTCTGGAGTCAGTTCAGGTCACTAGAACAAAGCAGCCCCGTGGTGTCTTCGTCGTGGACGGGACGCCACAGTGGCCCTGAGCTCTCTGGTCCGGGTCCTTCCCACAGGGGAGGCATGTGTGAGACACACGCAACGTGTGGTGGCTGGGCCGTGTGTGCCCCAGGTGCCATCTGTCCCTCCTGTGGCTGGTCCGTGTGCTGGCGCTACCTCAGCGAGTGAGCTCTGGGGGAGTGTGGTCTGTGGTGGCCGCAGTGGGCTCCGTGGTTAGCTTCCCCACGGAAGGGAGTGCTTGGCTGCGAGCTGCAGGCGGGCCTGCACGTGATGCAGAAAGAATGGACTAACGTCGGCCTCAGACCAGTGGGGACAGCAGAGAACCTCCAGTGCGGGGCCAGCACGTCACAGCGGGGAGAGGAGGAGAAAGCAGGGGTGTCTGGCGTTCACCTCTCTGGGTCCATCGGCTGCCTCTGGGTCTCCGTTCTGCCCACACTGCCTTGGGAGGGAGCAGGGGAACAGTGGGCCGTGCGTCACCCTGCTGGCCTAGCAGGGCGCTGGGAGCCATGCTGAGGAGATGATGGGGGGCTGCAGCCTTTGGCCGGGACACACCCCAACCCTGCTGCTCGGAGCTGGCTCTTCCGTAGCATCACCGCGCTGCCTTGGCTGGAGGTGACTGTCCCCAGCCTGTCATGCTGGCCGAGCAGGTTTCAGTATGAAAGTTGGTTAAGGTGTGGTACACTTGAGCCGAGACAGCCCAGTGACAACCAGAAGTACTGTCTTGTCACATGGAGACCGTGGAGCAGCCCCGGGACCTGCGTGGCTGGTGGGTGCTGGGCGTCCTGGGCCAGCTGCAGGACTCGGGGGCCCACCTCCTGGGAAGGTGACCTGAAGCCAGTGGAGCGCGTGTGGTGCCCAGCAGCACACGACACAGCTCCGTCAGATGCCCGAGGCTCCGTGCTGCCTGCCTGTCCTTCATAGTCAGTGTCGAGGTGACCCCAGAGGTGGAGCCGGAGCCCTTCCTGCAGCCAGTCCCAGCCCCGCGGGGTCGAGCTCCTCCTGGCAGCCTCAGCAGTGAGCCGACAACCCCCCACAGAAGGTGCCGGTCTCAAAGCTCCCGCTGTCCTGGGAGCCCGCGTGTCCCAGTTGAGGAAGAGCTTTCAGAACACCAGGAACCCGCAGTCGTTTCGTCCGTGCACGGCTCTCCATGCGACGGGACTCACACAGGGCGCCCCCGTCACGCAAGCTTCTGGGAAAGAGCGCTGCCACTACTCAGTAAGGCCCCAGCCCTGTGTCGTTTCCGGGGAAACGGGGGGACGTCTTGTGGCAGTGGACAGAAACCATGGCTGTCATTATCAAGCTACTAGTTTGTTTTTAAAAAATTTCTTCTGGAAAAAATGGCAGTTTGTAAAAAATTGGTTGGCTTATTAGAAATAAAATTGAGATGTACCATGTGCCATGAGACTGCTGGGCTTGAACTACGTGTCAACTTCAGGTCAATGTTTCACTCACCTTCCTTGGTGTGCGGGATGTCCAGGCCGTGTCCCCTGGGACTGTCCAGCATGTCACCTGTGAGTCGTCAGTGTCCTCGTCAGCATCCACAGGGAAAAGTGCCCTGGACAACCTGCATTCCAGTCGGACGTGCGTGGGGTGCTATTCACAGGGACCCGGGGTGAAAGACCCAGGGTCACAGGGATAGTTGTGTGTGCACATTTGCGGGGCCCTCGGCAGTCTTGGTGCTGAGCTGACGAGCTTCGCTTTTATGGCTCAGTCTTATAGAAGAGGCTGGTGTTTCGTCCTCGCAACGTCTGGTGCTTCTGTGAGCAGTGGGGCCGGGTGTGCGGTGTGCTCGTCTGCAGGTCCTGAGCGTCCCCGGCCTCCCCGGGGCCAGAGGCCCGGCACCCAGCTTGTGGCGAAGCCTCAACCGAGACGGCCACTTGTGCCAGGAACGTGTGCACTCTGTCTATGCGACACCACCACTGATGTCCCTTTGCTTGTCAAACTAGTGAACTTGCTGCTTATGCCGCGTGGGGAGGTGTGGTGCTGTCACGTCTGTGTCTCCCTCGCCTTCTCGGTGGGTGACCCCGTGGCTACCTCACTCAGGGCACACGGGTCAGGACACGAGGCTGTTGTGCCCTGGGAGGTGTGCCACGCAGGCCCGGCGTGCAGCAGGTGTCCACCCAGTATGGCCTCGGCGTGCCACAGCAGGGCCCTAAAGAGGGTGGCAGTTGCTGGTGGGGTGCACCCAGCACTCAGAAACCGGCTCCCTGGGGACAGGCCTGGGGTAGCATTTGTCGGTGTCCCATGAGACTGACTTCAAGCCAAGGAGAAGTCAGCTGGCCACAGAGCTCCTGAAAGCTGCAGAGTTGCTCCCGTGAGTCGGTACAGGCCGGTGCCAGCATGCCACTGCACAGCCAGGGGACACAGAGAGAGCTGTGTGGTCAGAGGCATGGGAACCTGCATTTGGTGCTGTCACAGCTGTGCCAGGTGCCCAGATGCTCAGATGCCCGGGAGGAGCCCAGCGCCAGACCACGGAGGACACTGTCGCCTGGCACCGTGCGGGACCCCGGGCTGTTCCCAGTGCGAGGGATGCAGGGAGGGGACAGCCCGTGGGGGACGCAGAAACCTCGCTGGGCCCCAGCTACACCCTGAGGAAGGGGCAGGTGCTTAGGAGAAGATCTGGATGGGGCTCAGTGGACACGGGGGACAGAAAACCTGAGGCTGACTCAGCGCCCGGCCGAGTGCTGGGAGCCACCACGGTTTCTCCCTGTGACGAGCAGTGGAAAGAGGAAGGCTTCTGTTAGCGGGAGGGTGCCAGCTGAGACTGTCACAAGTCCAGGAGGGAGGGGCCGCTGTTCCTGTCACAGAGACTTCGCCCTGCTGACCAGCAGTGTGGCTCAGGACATACTGTCGACAAGACTTTGTGCCACCTCCACGCAAGACACAGTTTAGATCGAGTTTAGATGAGGACTTCGTGTGTAGTCACCACTGGGCTGTGTGCCTGGGCCTTTCCCGACAAGCAGGTGGCGAGCTGTCCCCTCAGAAGCCACAGCTCTCTCCAGAGCCCCCAGCGTCTTCCACCCTCAGCCTGGGACGTCGGTAGCAGAGTATTCGTGACGTCCCGTCTGAGACAGAATGAAACCGCCATTCAGAAGACTTCATTCTTCTAACGGTGCTGGGGCTGCTGGCTGGGGGTGAAGTCACACCTACACCTTCCTGCACCTCTGCCACACGCAGACGGAAGGGCGCTGGCCAGTCCTGCATCTGGCGTGCTCGCTTGGTGCCGAGTACTTGTCCCCGCCCATGCGTCTCAGAACCCATGGGCGGCTGGGCGTCACCAGGGAGCGAAGTCCACGTGAGGACCTGATGGTGCCCAAGGGTGCGTGCCACCACACGTGTGGGGCATGACAGTGAAGGGGCCCGTGACGGACCTACAGGCAGGCCCAGGACTGCCGGCCGGTGCTGAGGCCCCGCGACGCCCGGCGGCTGACACACTCCGAGGAGGAAATGGAACCTCGTGTCGCCCGCAGGTGTCCAGGAAGACCCTGCGACGACTCCATGGCAGGACAGCGGTGGGAGCGGCGAGGACATGGAGCAGGGAGACGCCGTGTGCCGCTCCACACCTGTCCCTGCAGGCCTTGCTCTGGGGCCAAGCCGTCTAAACTGCCCACTGAGTCTGGGGCCGCCAGTGTCCTAGAAGGAAGCCCGCTGTTCCCAGGGCCGAGGACGCTGACCAGCTGGGGACAGTCTCACCAGGGTGGGAGCACGCAGGACTGGCTGGGTGCCAGCAGCCCAGCGGGCGGCGGGGGGGCAGAGCTGGGTGGGGCCACAGGCTTGTCACATGCACCCCGCCCTCCTGCCGAAATGTGACCCTATCTGCCAGCAAGAGGTTCCTGGGGAGGACACTGGTGACCAGTGAGCGCAGATCCCTCCTGTCACCTGCAGGCCACAGGCCGTTTGGTCTGGCCTTCAGTGTCACAGGACGGTCTTCTGCGGCCAGCCTTTCTGAGGCGTGAGTGCAGTGATGCCCTCAGGCTTCCGTGAGGGAGGCGTGGCTCATACATGGGAAGTGAGAGGTTTAAAGCTGGCAGGGACCTCAGGGACACATCAGTCCACCCCTGACTGCAGCGGCCCCATGCCGAGGCCGCAGTGCAGCTACCTTAGAGCCTGCCGTCGTCCAGGCGTCTGAGTGTCGCCAGCTAGTGAATAAGGCTCGCCCGTGGACAGGGTCGTGGAGGCGCTGTTGGCACAAACAGCCTCCGTCCTGCTCTGGCTTTGCTTCCCGGCCGGTCACTGTGGTCAGACCCGCCTCTCGCTGCTCAGAGGAGGACGAGGGACTGTGGACACAGGCGCTTACACTGTGCATGTGTGGGGCGTGGCAGTGGTTCAGGTGTGTCTGTGCTGCTGTGTGTGAAGCACCTGTTGTCGCTTGGCTGCTAGGCCCGGTGATGGAAGGCGGCTGTCGTGTCTCCCAGCAGGTGGGCCACGGCCTCACGCTCAGTGACCTTCCCTTACACACGCTGAACAGCATCTTGTACAGACTGTCGGACGGCTCGGACATCGTCACACTCGGCCAGGTGACCCCCGCGCTCCGCATGCTTAGTGAAGACCGCCGGCTGTGGAAGGCACTGTGCCAGTACCACTTTGCAGAGAAGCAGGTGAGTCATCGGCTTCACGCCGGAACCCCACGGGGTCCCCGCTGCCCGCAAGTCTGCCCCCACCGGGCCGCTTTGGGCACGTCGGCTTTCCGGGTGAGCCGCTACCGAATCAGAAATCCTGGGCATTCATCAGAAGCACACATGGCTTCTCTCCCACAGCTGGTAAAGCCCACATTTCATGTTCTAGAACTCCGATTCTGAACAGCCCAGAGCAGACACGCTTGGTTCTTGTCGTCTGTCAGGCAGCGCAGCCGGGGTCGCCTCCCCGCAGCTCGCTGACTCGCAGAGTGGCGTGTGTCCATTAGTCGGGCCGCCCTTTGTGTCTTGGTTTCTGTGTTCGGGGGAAGCAGGCGACTGGAGCCCCTATTCCCCCGGCTCCAGCACAGAGCACCACGCGGCCCGGTCGCCTGTCATCTGTGGGGCCCTGTGGACACGCTCGCGCACGGCCCGGGTGCTGTGCTCCTGCCCAGAGGGGAGGCGGGCGTGTGTGTGTCCTGAGAGCTGGCTCTAGCCGCGATGGTGACCGACGCCGTGGAGTGCTGGAGTCTGAGCGCACTGCAGACACCGTCCACTTGGGAGCTGGGATGGAGGGGACGTCCTCGAGGAGGTTACGGCTTCGTGGGCGAACAGCTTGTAGGCAGATGTGCAGGCGGGGTGGAGGTGACGTGGCCTGGAGGGCAGGTGAGCAGTGCCCAGCGGTCTCTACAGGCCCAGGGGTGGCCAGGTGCTCCCAGAGAAATGGGAGGGTGAGGCAAGGCGAGATGGAGATGGGCTGGCCTGAGGGAGGGACGTCCGAGCGTCCGACACCCCTCGTCTGAAGAGAAGGCCTGGAAGGAGGCATGGCCAGCGGCCTCAAGGGAACCAGAGGCCGAGTCACCTGCGGAGGATGCAGGATCCCCAAGGGCTCAAGACGAGGTGCCGAGGCTCCCAGAGTCAGACTGAGTTGGGCAGTGGTGATGGGAGACCCCAGGAAACTGCGAGGGGGACCTATTGCGGGGGAAACAAAGAATCCAGTATTATGCTGAGTAGGGAGGAAAGCAGATGGAGATCTAAATCACCGGATATGGGCGGCTGCATGTTTGGGGGGACAGCTTATAGCCCAGGGACAGAGGGGATGGGGTACATCTGGGGTAATGGAGGCAAGAGGGGTCCGTGTGGGGGCCCTTCCATTGGGTGCTCAGGAGTAGTCAGGACGCGCCTGGCCGGCTGCCATCCCCTGCGAGTTTGCGGTCCCAGCTGTTGACCAGGGTGGGTCAGCGAGCCGACGGGCACTTCACGCGTGTGCTGACCATTTGTGAGGTCCTTGCATTTCCTTAAAGGAGCCACTTTATAGAGACTCTGTCTCCCGCATCGGTATTTAACGTCATGGTTACAGTTAGCACCTCCCGGTGCGTCTCGACTGCAGACATTTTCTTGACCAAACATAAAAGCAGCGCCCAAAATAAATGTTCTGTCTTCAGGGCTCAGGAAGTAACAGTGAGATACCGAAGAAAGACCAGCATGTTGGAATGGCTTTACAGGCGAAGGACATCTGACGCGGGGCCGGAAGGAAGGGACGGCCCGAGCGTCTGGCAGGGACGTCGGGTTTGGGGTCACGATTGTTCCAGAGCAAATAATGGGGAGACGCTCGGTCTGGCCGTTGGCGCAGCGCGCGGACAGCACTGTCGCCAGGCCTGTGCTGCTTGTATTTTCCAAGCTGTCCTCTTTGCAAATCCTGTTAGAAACAAGAGTTCTTTCATTGACTCCATCGTGGTTTCAAAACAAAGCCCTCAAAGCCACAACTGGAGTGTGCATGTGTCACCCAAGTGATTATTTTCAGTTATAAGAAGAAAAATGATTCTCAGATATACAGACAAGGTCTGTCTGCGCTGGTCATGAAGACTAGTTTACACCTCACTTCATGGCGCTTCACAGATGAGGGCGAGACCCTCCACCGACTCACTTTGCTGCCAAGACCTGGAAGCCACCCCCGTGTCTGCGAGGTCGGCCTGTGCGGGGTCCAGAGGAGCACACGGCCCCTCCGCTCCCCCGGGAGCCCTGATAACCCTCAGGGCGCGCGTGGAGCTCGGCTCAGACACAGACACGGAGCTGGTGGAGCCGTGCACGCGTGTTGTCTCCCACCTTCACTAAGATCCCACTCCCATCGTGTCCGTCACCTCAGATGCAGCCCCTCTCCCCCCGTAGCCCTCATGCCGGCCCGAGGCGGTCCCGTCGTCTTCTGCTGCGGGTCGCCCTGCTCTGGACATTTTCCGAAAGCACAGTCACGGCCTCTGGTGCCCGTAGCACGATGTCCTCTGCCTCATGTGAGCGCCGGCCAGCCCGGGACCCTCCCCACGGCACTCTGGCGGCCACTCTGGACAGACCCCGTGTTTGCCCCTCGGCAGCTGGGGGACGTGTGTCGTTCCCCCCCGGTGGCTCTTAACGCATCCCCCTGCTCTCCGTCACATTTGCGTGGACGTGCCCTTCCAGTTCCCTGGGGAGTGGACACTGGGGCCAGATGGCAGCGGCAGGTTCAGATTTCTGAGGAGCAGCCCGGCCACTGTCCACAGTGGCCCCCTGCTGCACCCCAGCAGTGGACAAGGGTCCTGACCTCTGCACCTCCTCGTCTGTACTTGTGTTATCTGGGTTTGACCAGCGTCCTAGTGGGTGTGAGGTGGTGGCTCGTCCCACTTCCCTGGTGACTGACACTTAAGCATCTTTGGCCATCTGTGCCCTTGGGAGTAATGTCTTCAAGTTCTGTGTCTGTTTTTTAACCGGGTTGTCTTTTTATTACTGTTGTTGGTGTTCCTTGTGAATTCTCGATACGAGTCCCTTATCACCTGCACCGGGCGTGTCACTGACCCTTTCCCAGTTGCAGCGGGCACCACGTGTGCTGTTAGCTTCAGGCGTGTAGGCAGTGGTTAGACTTACATCTGCTTAACAGTGTGCTGTGGACATCCTTCCAGGTCGGAATCCTTAAATCTAGTAACAGCTGGGTGGCATTCCAGGGTCCAGACACACCGTGGTTTGTTAGATTTAATCAGTTTCAGGTCATTGAGTGTTCACTGCACTGCACTGCCCTTTAAAAGTGCTCTGCTCTGAGAATCGTTTGGTTCTGAATAGTTCTTTTATGTCTAGTTTTGCAGACATTTGATCCTTTCAGAAAGCGGCCACATCGAGTGGAAACGGACGTACTTCGCCCTGCAGAAGTGCTACCCGCCCCGGGAGCAGTACGGGGACACGCTGCACTTCTGCCGGCACTGCAGCATCCTCTTCTGGAAGGTAAGGGTTTTAGATACATGCTTGGAATCTGAGGATTCAAACTGGGGGAAACAAATATTCGTCTCTGTTGTAAATGCACGGGTTAAAAAAGCGGAAAGCTCCATGTGTAAGAAAGGAGACGAGGTGCCTGATCCCACACAGGGGGACAGGTTCCTAAAAGCTGCGGACAGCTGGGGTTTGAAGGGTACACATGGAGGACCAAGCGTTGGGCCCCCTCTCCTCCCCGGGATGACTCTGTTCCCCTGTTGTGACAGCAGCGTGTAGGGGTCCCGTCCCCGAGGGCAGCTGTGGGGGCGGGCGGCTTTTCCTGGCAGCGGCGGCTCTGCCTCCCCTGCCAGCCCTCGACCTGAGCTCAGGGACAGCCCCCACTCACTGTGCCTCAGGTGGCTCCTCAGAGCTCCTCATACATGTCACAGGCTTTAAAATAAATGTGCATTTTCTCAGTTATTTGGTCAAAACTTAAGCAGACCCTCATGGCTTACCCACAAGTCTGCCCTTCAGTGAGAAACCATCTGCGGCTGCTTCAGCGACAGTCGGAAGCCCTTTGTCCCGAGACGCCACTACTGTGTGTCCCACTGTCCATGCTGTCGCTGATAAAACAGGCTCTCCACAGTCAGAGGCAGACTCCTGCCTCCTCGTTCCCTGGGGACACGTGGCGACACTGTGGTCGGCTGGCCACGAGCCTGACCGGGCACCTCCTGGACTCGCCGAGACCCTCACCTCTCGGGCTGCGGGCGGTGAGGCTGGTGCCCGGTGACCCCTACTCACTCGTTTATAGTCACGCGCCGCTCAGGGACGGGGCGCGTTCTGAGATACGCACCCCCAGGCCGTGTGCGAACATCACCCAGGCCTCACTCCCCTGGCTGGCACAGCTGCCCCCGGCTGCAGGCCTATCCGGGCTGGCCCAGCACAGGGAAGGGATGCAGCCGAGACACAGGAGACGCGAGATGGAGGAGGCTGCTTCCTGCGGTGCTCGGTGCTGCTGAACAGAGACTTGGTGTGGCCGGAGCAGTGCACCGCAGTGACGACAGGAAGGCAGCGCCCGGAAGCCGCAGACCAGAGCGACCGTGACAACCGGGGCCGTGCGCTGCGCTCCGCACGAGGGACCAGCCGTCCCATGCTCAGTAGGTGACAGGAGGCCTTCAGCTCGGTGGTGACCGATGGGACACTGTGGCTCGGGAGGCCTGTTGTGGTCCGAAACGTGTGGCGAGTGACAGTTTCTTTTGTTCTGTGTTTGTCTGTGATTGGTTGGATGGATCACAGCGGACGCTCGGTTGTTAGACGGCTTACGTTAAACTCTTCCCAGTTCAAATTATGTTTCTATGTGGCTTCTTTTTAAACATCGCCTGTGGCTGTGCCGTGAGCAGAGGCTCCTCCATCTCGCGTCTCCTGTGTCACTGCGCCTCACAGCTTGTCCATGTGTCCACGGCAGCAGTGTCGTGAACACTGGTGCTTCCATGCGTGCACAGCACGAGCTGCCGTTATTTGCAATTTTCTCTGTCGTTTAGTCTGCTTTCTTTCCTGAAGTTACAAAGTATGTCACATGTTTGGCAGTCATGAGGTCGTTCTTGAGAGCGGGGAACATCATGTCCACACTGACTGTCCGTGCCACAGGCACTCACAGCACATGTTTGATAGCGAATGGACCAGGCATCGATCGACTGGGAGCTCCAGACGCCCAGGAGAGAGCCCTTAGTCCCCAGTCACAGCCCCGCACACACAGGCAGACGATGGTGGGCAGATACCAGGTGACTCAGAGTGCAGGGCTGGGGTGCCTCCCACCGGTGAGGCCGGTCTCTCCTCGTGTCTCAGAATCAACAGCCGTGGCTGGAAACACATGAGGCTGTGTCTTCAGCAACACAGTGACAGATGACATACCCTGGATTTCTGCCTTGCATTGATGCTTCTCCCAAGTTTTCTCTTTTCCTCCTGAACAGGCTGCTTTATTCTAAAGATCTATTAGAGGCTGTGACATTTTTGTGGGGAAAATGCTATTCATGGGATAGAAGTCTTTCAATCTTACACGTGATGGTCAGACACTCTCCTAAGAAGAACCCCGAAGAATGTCAGGACCCCCATCTCTTCCGCGATGGACAGAGAAGCTCTCTCTTTAGTCAGTGCCGCTGGGCACCCTCCGAGCACACTGGTCAGGACCCTGCACTTGGAAGTTCTGATTCTTAAAACAGAGAGGGAACTTGCAGCTTTCCTAAAGGATTTGCCTGCACATTCTCTTACTGGGTGAACCTTCCTGGCGTACGTAACCACGTTGTAAAACGTCAGCACAAGTCTTGCCTACGAGATGCCTGCCTGTCTGGCTGGATGTACATGATCTTGCTCGCAGTGCTGTGGGGGCCACACTTCCCTGCAGTGACAGGCCTGGAGCGCGGGCCTCGGCGCACGTCATATTGCAGCCTTTCCTGTCGGCACCCTTCCAGAAGACATAGTTGCACCAACGTTTTAATTTCTGAATCTGTACATGAAAGTGTAAGAAAAGGTCAGCCTCTGCAGTTTCTGGCAGCTCCTGCTTCCGGTCAGCTCCCGAGGAAGCCCGGCCCCTCCTTGGCTGCCCGTGTCCTCGGCCATGTGCGTGGCTGAGTTCAGGCCAAGCCGACGGGCGCCCTGCCCCACAGAGCTGCGTTTTGGGCCGGAACCTGCCAGTGTTGGGACGGTTACACAGCACCTTGCACGGGGTTGGTGCGCTTTTACCGTTTTCTTTGGCATCCCCCAATATTTTGTGTTGACTGAGAAACTAAAGTAACATCAAACCCGTTAGGAAATGGGGAGGTTGGGAGGGGGCCGGTCACTGATGGTCAGTTTGTATCGAGCATGTCATCACTGGCTGTCTGTTCTGGCTTCAGCTCACTGGAGCGAGGGCCAAGTTAATCTATGTAACCAAAGGCTGCCCAGTGGGGTCAGGCTCTGGTGGCCCTCAAAGGGTCCGTGGAGGTGACCACTGCCCCAGGGTCACGAGGCACTCTGGAGAGACGCAGCCACCAGCAGTCACGTGGGGCTGTTTTGTTGCTTATTTGCCAACTGAACGCCTGTGCGTCTCCACTTGACACAAGTCCAGCTGAGACTGGACGTGAGCGAGTACAGCGAAAGGCCAGGACCAGCCGCCAAGACTCTGTCCCTTTCTGTGGCTGTGTCCCTGCCGGAAACGTGTCAGGGGCAGGGCTGCAGTGGGGCCTGCATGACGGAGCAGCTCCAGATGACAGAGTGCGCCGCGGGCTCTGGAGCAGGTCAGGGCAGAGCTCGCCGGGAGGCTCGTGGGCTGCTGCTCCGTCACCTTCCCAAGTGGGCAGCAGGACGGTGCCGGTCTTGGTGGACAAAACTGTGACTTGGCAGAAAGGAGGGTCGCGTAGAAGGGGCACACGGGGAGCGTGGGGACGCATGTTACTCAGCAGTCAGCGGTCTGGGACTTTCCAAAACCCCGCTACACGTGTGTTCAGTATGATCTCCGTGGAAGCAGCAGCGGTGCCTGCCATGCACCTGCCCAGTGGCCACCCAGAAGGCTGTTGAGCACTGCAGACTCGCCAGCTGCCACTCTGAGACTTGAGGAAGTGGAAATTCCTGGCAGTGTTACGGCCGGCTTCGCGGTCCCTGGCTCTCGGGGCATCTGAGGGTGTCTTGCAATTTCGCTTTAATAATACCTGTGTTGCCCACTTTTTACTTCCCTGATGGTTTTGGTGGTTTTCGCGAGTGGTGTGCATCAGACCTAAAGGCTGCACAGTCTGGCTCCTCTAATCTTCTTCCTTTCCCTCCCTTGCTGCCTTCCTTCCTGATCTGTCTTCACCTCCCAGGACTGCCGCCTCGCTTTGTTATTCAAGGTACCTCCTGCCTCACCACACGTGCCCCGCTGAGAACTAGGGACTAAACCAGGTGCTGTGCGGCCCTGCAGCCAGCAACGCCGTTGCCTAGGAGACCAGCCACACTTCGCTGGCCCAGACATACGGCTCGGCCCAGATGCGACCAGCAGCCAAACTGCAACTCCTGCTCATTTCAGTCACCACCAGAGGGTTTTCATGACAGTTTACAGACAGCACCTGAGCGACAGAGATCAGCCTTAAGGGGACGCCCTAGACGTGTCCATGAGAACCTCCCTTCAGGTATAAGGCGCCACACAGCACCTAGGGAGGCCGCGTCACCGGTCATGGCCCCTGAGAGAACGCGCTGACCTCATGTGGCCTCTGACTCCCACCGGCCTGTATTCTTTTTTTTTTAGCTGAGCCATCCTGCCACCTGTTGGCAGCTCAGCGGCAGCTCAGCTCAGGCCGGGCATCGAACCGCTGTTGCTCAGAGCTCACACTCTTGAGCGAGCTCTTAACCAACTCGGCCAGCCCTGGCCTGTATTCTTTAGGTGCCTCCTTCTGTTAAGTTTGTCCGTCTTTTAACACAAAACTTATTAGTCTTTGGTCATTTTTCCTGTTCGGTACCATCCTGGGTCTTCAGCTGCGTGCTGTGGGAGCTCCAGGCACTGGTCCCGGGACAGGTGATGGGGACCACGGAGGGGATTAAGAGCAGGGCCAGGACCAGGGAGGGGAGACCCCGGGGGGCCCCCTTCCTCTGACGCTTCCCGGACTGGCGCTGGGCCACTTGTCCATCTGTCCGAGCAGAAATCCCAACAGGACATTTCTCTACTGAAAAACTGCTGTGGCTGCCTGTTTCCTAATTCTCATCAGTTATCTTCCACGCCCCTTTGAGATGGGGTCCGGGGGCCATTTACCAAACAGCTGGTGGCCATCTGTGTGACCCTGCCCCTCCTCCCACAGGACTCGGGACACCCGTGCACGGCCGCCGACCCCGACAGCTGCTTCCTGCCCGTGTCCCCACAGCACTTCATCGACCTTTTCAAGTTTTAGAGGTGCCTCGCCCACCGCGTCGCTGTCCAAAGGTCCCATGTGTGCGTGCAGGAGCTGGTCGCAAGTGTCCTTTGTGACATGCATCGACTGGGACAGTGAGCAGAGGCTGCCCCGCCCGCCCGCCCGTGGGAAGCGCGACGGAGAGGCTGCTCCTGGCACCTGTGGAGACGAGCGTTTCGCTGTGTGTTCTCATCTTTGAAAAGGGTCAAGGGACCCAAATGAAATCATTTCAACTTCCTTCTTTACAAAATTCATTTCTTCTAAGCATATTAAAATTTGCAGCTTTGTATATTTATAAATACGGTTCAATAAAGATTCTGGATTTTCAGCAGCACATTCTGTGCTGAACTGACACTGATGGGCAATAATATGCTTAACTGTCAAATCAGTTTCCTGATTTTGTAGTAATTGGGGGTGGGATAGAAAAAATCAATCTTTGTAAATACATTGTGCAGAATATTTATTTTTCTTAAGGTGTATTTTAAGTGCATTGGTTGGGCCCAAATGACTCCTCTGTGAATGCGAAATGAACTTAGGGAAATATTTGTTGTCCCTTGTGTTTAGCGATTGGGCTGTGAATTATGCAGCATGTCAGTGACCAGCAAAGGCGTGAGTGTGTGGCTGTGCTCCTGGGCGCTGATGGACGGACGCCGACCGCAGCCCTGGGAGGGGACCGCCCACTGCTGAGCATGGCCAAGTAGGGTGGCCCAGCGCGGCCTGATCCTGCTGTGCTGAAATCACTTTTATAGACAAGTAATAAATCCCATTACTGATTCAACCTTTGCATCTTAGTGAGAAAAAGTAGTGTTAGTGATTTTGATGTCATTTATTTAAACCTTTCAAAGATTGCTTTATTTTTTAAGTAATGGATGTCCATTTTAAAGAATTTTGACAGTAAAGGTGTATAAAACAAAACAAAATCACCCATAATTCTGCCGTCCGAAGTAACTGCTTTCTAGCAAGCATGCGAAGAGTTGCCCCTCAGCAGCTAGAGGGGGACATGTCTTGCCCTTGTTTTCACCTTTGAATTAAGGTCAGGGACCCTGAGCAAGACCACTTCTGCTTCCCTTCTTTAATCTCTTTCTTCTAAGCATATTAAAATGTGCAGTTACGCATATTTGTGAGGAAAGACTGGATTTCCAGCAGCACCTTCTGTGCTGAACTGACCTCAGTGACCAAGAATGTGCTTCTCTGTTGTCCAGCGAGGTCCCTCCGCACACAGAGGAGGACCCAGGGCCTCTGCGTGTGTCCCGGAGAGCAGCTTGTCATAAAGCGTGAGCGTCTTGTGTGGCGCTTTCATTTCATAACCAGCATTTTTGTCAAAAGAATTTGTGAAAGTGGTTTTCATTGGCTACATAGTATCACAGAGATGGGACAGTCCTCATCAGATTCTCAGGTTGTCTCCAGTTTTTGCGGTTAACAAAGTAACTCTGTGATAAGCATCATTGTAATAAACGTTTGTGCATCTGATTATCTCCTTAAGATAAAAGAGGGAATGAGTCAAACATTTTAAAGGAAATTTCCAGATTGCTCATGAAAATAGAAGTTGTTATATTCTTTCTAAGAGATGAAATATGTTGGATATTACCATTTTTCTGCTGGTGCTATTTTAATACGTGAGGAATGGGATATGAGGTTTAACATGTCTTCTGTATATTTACTGGCTATTTGTGGGTTTTTTAGTGTGCTGGGTGGGTCACCCCCCCTTCCTTCTTAGTCCCTTTTCAAATAACATCCATTCACATTTTACACAACTGATGCTCAGAAGCACCACTGGGACAAGTGGGAAGGAGTTCAGGAATGGGGGCTAGAGGGGCAGGCACTGTCCCCCCACTCCCCCAGCTTGGGGGGCGCAGCTGTAGGGTCGCCACTCCCCGAGGCTCAGCCCCACTCGGAGTCATGCTGTTTCCAGATGCAAATACCTGTCAACCAGTATTTGTTCCTTGGAGAACATAACATAAATACCAATGAGTAAAGAAGAACATTTTTATTAGTTTTTAGTTTGTTCTGGTCTGTAATCTAACACAAGCGTGACCTCCAGAGGTGGATGTGAGAAAAACACCGCTCATAGCTTTGCTGTGTTTCTAGGCAAAACTGAAAACTGCTTCGGCTCTACACGCCTCGAGGGCCCTGAACAAATTGTGATCTGTGTTCATCAATTTCAGAGCTGTGAAAATATCAAATAAGGGGGTTAATCAAACAAGAACCAAGGGAGGAAGGACCCGGGGCAGCACTGCCCACTGGTCACCTGGCCCCAAAGGACAGTGATTATTTTTGCTTGCTTTTAATCTTGTGGGGGTGAAATGGGGACTTGACATAAAAATCTCAGTTCTTAGCTTTTCTTGAAGTGTCCAGTTCTAGGTTCACTAGGCCTTGGGTAGGAGCCGCTCGCTCCAGACAGGTGTCCGGTCCCGGCCGGAGTGAGTTTGCATCTGGCTTCACCCCCAGCAGCAGCCTGCGTGTGTTCTGCTCCCCCTCTTCCCACCCCCCGCCACATGACCCCTGTCATTCCCGTCCCCTGCCTTTTTCCTGTCAAACGTTCCTGACGGGCTAACGGGGTTTTGGAGGAAGCGGACACAGGAGCACGGGCTGAATCGGACCATCAGGATGGCTGCCGCCCTGGAAGAGAGCTGGCCTCAGGTACCACTTCCCTTTCTAGAGGCCACCCTTCTAGCAGAGAGTAAAGGCCTGCTAGACACAGTGCTGGCCCAGCAGACCAGGAGGCGGAGGGGACAGAGGGTCACCTGAGAGGCTGGCCCTGGAGCGCCTGGACCTCTGGGTCCCTCCCCAGCCTGAGTCGGGGGGCGGGCTCATGCCTCCATGCTGGGCATCTCCGCAGGGTGAGGACAGGGCTCGAGAGGGCACAGCGGCCAGTGGGTCCCGCACGCAGAGACGTCCCAGAGGACGAGGTAAAGGCTGAGGCTGTGCGCTCTGGCTCCCTCCCTGCTCTGTCCCCAGACACAGGCAGCCCCAGCAGACGCGTGCTGACGTTCGGGGGCCTCCCAAGGAGGAGACGGTATGTCAGAATCCACAGCCGGGACAGTTAACCTTCAAGTTGATGGTATGTTGCTGGGAGCTATTGGGCGGGGGTGGGCGGGGGATGGCTGAGGGCAATTCTGTTCCACCTGCAGCTTCTGTGGGCACAGTGAGTGTCACCTAACAAGTGGCTGGAGGTCGGAGACACTGTGAGGGGCCACCAAGGGCCCCAGCTCCCAAATCACATCAGCAAACCACCAGAGGACAGGACGGTGATGTCACTCCGACGCAGGTGTCAGGTCTGAGTGCTCCGAGGCCCACGGAGACCAGACGGACACGGCGAGAGCTGACGCTCAGCCCCTGTGCCTCGCCCGCTCCCACAGAGCTCCCTGTTTTTGGGTTTTGTTTTTGGTAAATTACCTTATGTGTGTTGCCTGATTTACTTTTGGGGTTTTGGTCTTTTTTTTGTATTACTTTTTTAAGAGAGTATTAATCTCTTGAAGTTGCCATTTTTTCCCGTAAGTAACAAGACGGATAGAGTAAGGGAAGGAATGCAGCTGCCCTCTATCAGGCGACACACGCCCAGGCCGACTGCACTGTGTGACGAGACCGGGCTCAGCTTGTCACAGGCGTCGTGTCTGCTGGCCTTTCGCCTGAGGTGGGGGACACCTCAGCTGTGCTGTTTTGGAGATAAAAATTTCACTTTTGATAGTTTGAGAAATTTGCACAGATGAATGCAAGTAGCTTTTTACTATTTACATAGAAAATTCTAATGTCATTAAAATTTTTAAGGGCGGCCGGGTGGCTCAGTTGGTTAGACTGCGTGCTCTTAACAACAAGGTTGCCGGTTCAAATACCACAAGGGATGGTGGGCTGCGGCCCCTGCAACTAGATCGAAGGACGACTTGACTTGAAGCGGATGGATCCTGGAAAAAACAGTTACCTAATAAACATTTTTA